AGCCGCAGCCCACTTCCGCCGCCGGTCTTAGGAAAGAGGATGCCCTGGTCCACCGTCCCCTTGACATAGCGCAACAACCGCTTTACCGCAGCCCAATGATCCTCTCGGGGTTCCTCCATGAAACGGCTGACATAGCCCACGACGAATGCGATATCTGGCCTCGTGTGGACTAGATAGCGTAGCCCGCCGACGATACTCCGGTAGAGTGTTGCATCCACCTTCCCCGCGGTGCTGGCTTTCGTCAGTTTCAGCCGCTCCTCCATCGGAGTCGCGCATGACTTGCAGTCAGCCATGCCGCTCCGCTCCAATAGCTTCCCCGCATACGCACGCTGGCAGAGAGTGATGGAGTCTCTCCCCTGCTTCACCTCGATGCCGAGGTAGTAGGAGAGCTGCCCGAGATCACTCATCCGGAAACGAGCTGCCATCTCGCGCTTGAAGCCGTTGATGTCCCTTTCTCGTGCCCCAGTGATGATCAAGTCATCCACATACACGCCGACGACGAGCTCCTCCTTCCCCCGTCGTCGCGTGTAGAGCGCGTGCTCTGTCGCGCAGCGCGTGAACCCAAGCGTACCCAGAGTGGCATCGAGTTTGGCGTTCCACGCTCGCAGGGCTTGTCGCAACCCATAGAGTGCCTTTCGCAGTCGTAGCACCTCGTGCTCCTTTCCCTTGACGACGAAGCCCGGGGCTTGCTTGACGAAAACAGTCTCCGCTAGCTCGCCGTTGAGGAAGGCCGATTTTACGTCCAGCTGATGAATGCGCCAGTCCTTCGCTGCCGCCATGGCTAGCAGTAGGCGAACTGACTCCATGCGCGCCACTGGTGCAAAAACTTCCTCAAAGTCGATGCCCTCTCGCTGGACGAAACCGCGAGCAACGAGGCGCGCCTTGTGTTTGACTATGGCGCCACACTCGTCCCGCTTGACCTTGTAGACCCATTTGATCCCGATTGGATGACAGCCTGGAGGTGGATCGACGAGCTCCCACGTCTCATTTTCCTCGATCGCCTTCATCTCCTCTAGCATAGCTCGTCTCCAATTGACATCTCCCTCGGCCTGCGCGAAAGTCGATGGCTCCTCTGCGCTGACGACGAGCAGCTCCTGATCATCGAGTAATCGGCTCGCCAAGCCTGGTACAGCCGAGTTGCCAACGAGGTTGTCCATCCTGTGAAACCTCACCCCCTCGCCGTCGTGGAAGGCATCCACATACTCGTCGATGTCGCTTGGAGGAGAGGTGAACTCAACTGTCGTCGCTGGAGGTGTCCCTTGTCTTGCCACAGCAGGGGACTGTGGGGGCGTGTGCGCAGCCGCTTGTGGAGACTCTTCGCCCGTGCCCGTCATGGCTGGACTTTGGGGCTCATCCGACGCCGCCACAGTTGCTGGACTTGGCGCTTCCGCAGCTGGCTCCTCTACTCCCGCATCTCCTCCTCCGTGGATCACCAAATGCTCGATGACGAACGTACTGCCGACGCCACGGGCTTCCCCAATGCCAGGATTCTCCCAATCCTAGGCCGCCATTTCGTCGAACACCACATCCCGCGAAACCACCACCTTGCCTCCACGCGGATCGAAGAGCCGATAGGCCTTGCTCCCCTCCTCGTAGCCTAGGAACACCATCGGTGTGCTCCTATCCTCAAGCTTGGACAGGAAGGGCTTCGTCTTCTTCACATGGCCAATGCACCCAAACGTCCTTAGAAACGAGACGTCGGGCTGCCTACCATGCCAAGCTTCAAATGGCGTCATGCCCTTCAGGGCCTTCGTGGGCGCACGGTTGAGGATGAACACCGCTGTGCTCACAGCCTCTCCCCAGAACTCCGCTGGCATGCCCTTTGCCTTCATCATGCTTCGGGCCATGCCTACCACGGTCTGATTCTGCCGTTCCACTACGCCGTTTTGTTGCGGTGAGTACGGTGCAGTGTGAAGGCGCACCACCCCTTGGTTTGCACAGTACGCGGCGAATTCTACCGATGTGAACTCGCCACCGCGATCCGTCCTCAGCACGCGCAGCCGTTTCCCGGACTCTGCCTCGGCTCGCGCTTGGAACCGCTTGATTGCCTCTGCCGCCTGATCCTTACTCGTCAAGAGCTGCAGCCACATGAAACGGCCACAGTCATCCACGAGCAGTAGGAAGTAGCGTCGTCCGCCATGTGTAGCCGGCGTGATCGGCCCGCAAAGGTCGCCGTGGACGAGCTCTAGGACGTCCGCCGCACGATACTTGGCCGCCTTTGGGAAGGGCAGCCGCTTCTGTTTCTCTGCCAGGCAGCTGTCGCACAGCTCGCCTGCGTGCTCGATGTGCGGGAGCCCGCGCACCATCTTCCTCAGCCGATTGAGTGCGTCGAAGTTCAAATGGCCGAACCGAGCATGCCATAGCCATGGCTCCTCGGTGTGTCGTACCGCCAAACACACCGGTTGCTCCACCTTCAAGTCGAGGAGGTAGAGGCGGTTCCGGGAACGCTGGACTATGGCCAGCAGCCGCTGTTCTCGGTCCCGGAGCTTTAGTACGCCGTCTTTGACAAGCACCTCGCAGCCGTGCTCGTCCAGTTGCCCGATGCTGACGATGCTTGAACGCAACTGCGGGATATAGTACACATCCGTCAATGCGCGGTGCTCGCCGTTCTGGCACCGGAAGATGACGGTGCCGCGACCTCGAATCTCCACCTTCGAGCCGTCGCCGAACTTCACCGTCCCCATCACGCTGTCATCAAGCTCGGAGAAGGCCTCCTTGGAGCCGGTCATGTGGTTGCTGGCGCCGGAGTCTAGATACCACCTCTGCTCCATGCCACCGCCCATTCGTCCAAGGTGGACTTGGGCACTTGACTCGTCGAGGTGAACGGCCTGCAGTGACTTCCCCTGCTCTGTAGCCGTCGCCTTGACTTCCTCCAACTCTGGCTCGACGTCGTGCAACTTACAGGTCGTTGCCATGAGAAGAGCTGGCTCCTCGTCGTCCACCTGCGCGAGGTGTGCCTCCCTCTTCTTCTTCTTGGGATTCTTGCAATCCCGGGCCCAGTGCCCTGTCTTCCCACAGCGTCGGCAAGTGTCCTTGTCGATCGGATGCGCGTTGTCGCCGTCCTTCTTTTTCTTCTGCGGGCGACGTTTGCCGTAGCCGCCACGGCTGGAGGAGCCTTCCCCCGGCTGCCGCTTGCGCATACGAGCCTCCCATTCTTCCTCGGTCAGCAGTAACTTGCCGCTGGTAGTTATCGTCGCCATCTCCCCACGGTCATCCACCGCCCGCAAGCGCCCAGTCACATCCTCAATCGTGAGGGTGGACATGTCGATCAACGTCTCGATGGAGAGCGCGATCTGGGTTTACTTAGGTGGCATGACACGCAAGTTTTCGCGACCGCCTCCTCGTCGGTGATGGTGACGCCGTGCGCCGCCAGTTGACTGACGAGCGACTGCAGACGGAGCGAGAAATCCTCCACTGCCTCGCTGTCGCGGAACACCACCGCCTCATACTCCCGCCGTAGTTGCTGCGCCTTCGCCTTCTTTGCGCGATCAGACCCGATGCGCATGGTCTTGAGGGCGTCCCAAGCAGCCTTTGCGGAGTCCTTTACGCCCAGCGACTCCACGTACTCGTGAGGCACAGCGGATAGAATCGCTTCCATCGCTGGACAGTCCTCTTCTTCATCCTCGGTGCCTTCTTCGATGGCCCGCCAAAGCTTGCGCGCACGCAACTTGACCTTCATCAGCACCGCCCACTCGCCATAGTTTGTGCGTGTGAGGACCGGCCAGTTGGCCCCGCCAACATCCCGTACGGTCTTGTGGATGATGACCTCCTGGCGCGGTGAAGCGTGTGCACCACTCCCTTGCACCGTCGACGTGGCTTGCCATGGCTCTGATACCACTTGTTAGTCCTAGATCGCTGCTGCCGGCTTTTGTTCACAGCTTGGCTGCTCTTTTTGCAGCTGGGCTGCACTGTTCGGTTAAGCAAAAATGCACCCCTATTTATAAATAAAAACTGCACCCCTATTTATGAACATTGAGTATTCAGTTTTGAACATTGAGTATTCAGTTTTTCTGTGTGTTTACAAATAAAAACTGCACCCCTATTTATAAGAACTAAAAGCAACTATTCTAGTGACTTTCCTAGAAAATACATAAGTTGAAAAATCAAACTAAAGTGGCTGCCATGAAAGTGCTATGCAGCTGCAATGAAAATGCAATGAAAGTGTAATGAAAATGCAAGGAAGTTGCACTTCACTAACAAGGAAACTGCAGGATTATCTCTTACAACTAAGCCTAGGTTACCTACATCACACTTTGTGCACCTCTTGATCATGATTTTGATATTTACATCTCTCTTTCTCTGTAGGGTAATCGAGAATGCCTGAGATGATGGAGATGGAAAGCAATGCAAAACTCAGATGTTGTACCAGTTCAGATGTTTCCAAAAGGAGGATAATTTTGAAATCTGCTGATAGTCCACATGGAGCCGTTCATAATACTGAGGTCACTATTAGTTTTCAAGATGGGCAATGGCCTGAGTGGGTTCTAATGGAAGTTCTGTGCAGGCTCCCAATTAAGATGGTTATCCAATGCAAAAGTGTCTCAAAACAGTGGCTTTCTTTAATCTCGGATCCTTATTTTTCTCGCTTCTATAACATCACCTCTCGAGGCTGGCAAGCCTCTGCTTTCTCGGGCTCGGTTTGGCGCCGCCCTCCGTTGGTCTTTATTTACAAGAGAATGAGTGCTGAAGCTTGTGAGATGACCTTTTTTTCGGACGAAGGACTAATGGATATTATGTATCCTTTTCCAAACTCCCCTTCCCCTAATTATTGTGTACTTCCCCTCCCGAAATCTCAGCAAGGTGAGAAGGGGAGATTGTACACCATCCAAGCCATTCACGAAGGGCTTGTGTTGTACAAGTGGAGTGATTTTTCTGAGGGCGTGGATGAGCTGTACATCTGCAATCCCATGACCAACCAGTGGTTTCCACTTCCTCGACCCAAATATATCCCAAAGACAAATGCCAGCTATGGTTTCATCACACGGGTCAAAGCCGGAATCTTAACCAGCTACAGGGTCGTGCTTGTCCGTTGTCATCGCCAGAAACAATCTTTCGTCGAGTTCGAGGTGTTCTGTTCCGAATCGGGAAAATGGGTAGAATATACCGTTCACTCCACGCGTGCAGTTAGGGTTTCTATTGTCAAAAAGACGGTGTTCCTCGACGGGAAACTGCACTGGGACGATTGTGAGCTTGGTCTTATAGCATACGATCCTTATACGAGCCCTGATGAAATGCGCTTGATAGAATTTCCCAAGGATATGTATAGAAGTTACAGATCAGTCTCATACAACTTGAACTTTAGCTCGTGTGGTGTCCACCAAGGGCTTCTCAAGTATTTTGTTGTTACTGATCCATTCAGTGATCGCGGCTTCTCGCACCTCAAGATATGGGTGCTCGAGGACTATGAGATGGGTCGATGGTGTTTGCAGCATATGGTTGCGTGTGAAGATATTAATAGTGTTGGTCGTAGATTGTATCGCCGACCTGTCGAGCTCATTTGTTTCCATCCGTATGATGCGGACATAGTGTATATGCAGTGTTGCAAAGACTTGGTCTCGTATGACATGCGGACGAGGGAGCTGAGACAGCTGCGCCTTCCTCAAGAACCCAAGAAGAATTTGAACTTATCGTGGGACCCACGCTGTCTATACATACCGCTCTTGCTACCGGCATGGCCTATTTGTATCCCTACCTCTCTAATACCCAAGCTATAAGGGAGACCATCATTGGTATGTATTACCCTTATTAAAGAATACAAGTATGGAATTTTATTTTTATTTTTAGATTAGCGAGCGTTAATTTTGAAAAATTTGAGATTAATGAGATAGTAATTAAAGTTTATTTGATGTAAAAGTAGGAGATAGGTGATTTGAAGTGATGGTTAGTTAAAACTATGTGAGTGGATGAATAGCGAATTAAAAGTTGATGTGATGTGTAAGAATGATTGGTTGATATTATTTATTTATATTTATAATATTGAGGATAGTGGGGTATAGTGAAAGATGAGTTATATTTTGAGTATAGATTGAGAAAATTTATAAACAAACACACCCTAAAAGTTATACAAAAAAAAATGAATGGTGATTAAGCAAAACATGTTGAGGGCCAATGGTCTAAAGGAGGCTAATGAAGCAAATTTGCTTGATGAAGAAGGTATAGGTCTTGTTTAGATGTTTATATATATAAGTGAACTGTCAATCCTAGAAGAATTTATACAATGCTGCGTGGTGGAATAATGGTTAGCTGGCAAAAATGAATGGTGATTTAGCAAAACATGTTGAGGGCCAATGGTCTAAAGGTGGCTAATGAAGCAAATTTGCTTGATGAAGAAGGTATAGTTCTTGTTTAGATGTTTATATATATAAGTGAACTGTCAATCCTAGAAGAATTTATACAATGCTGCGTGGTAGAATAATGATTAGCTAGTTCGTCTAGTTACGATGTCCGTATGTTTTATGTTAGATGGACTCTAAGATTAGGAAAAAGGGGATTTACTGTTGAATGGCCAGTAAGGTATGCATGCATTTGATGTAGCTATATTCAATACTCAATGATGTGGAGTGTGGACATTATGATTTGTGATTGCTAGGAAATGCAGTTTCTTTTGAGTTAATTCAAGATAACTCATAGAGAATCCTAATGAATCTATGTTTCAACGACGTTACTTGATGTGGACATGCACATATTGCAGAATATTATTAGATTATGTCTATTTTTCACAGCCTTTTTGGCTTCATAGTTCTTGACTTCTTGGTTTTTAAGATATACAATTTATTTTTGTTTGAGGCCAATGACAGATCGTTAGACTTGAATATCTCATAATTTTTTTCAGTGCCAGAGCTATCACATATTACTTCAATGTATTGGACATTTTACACAAGAAACTTATAAAGGTCGTTCTCATTGGACATAAATTCCAGAATTCACTTAATGCTCTTGAGTTACTGTTAAAAAAAAAACTTTTTGCTAGATGTGTTTGGTGTGGTTGGTGATGCTTTTGAACCAAAACAAACTGGGTTTGAATCACAAGGGACCTTGTTATAGCAAATGAGGAGGGCTTCATTCTTTTAAATCTTGGTTTGGTTTGAATCATCAGCAAGGGACCTTATATCATTTTACAATCCCTGCTACGCATGCCTAAGAGTTAAACGCCCGTATTTTTTTCAACATATATGCATATTTTCAAACTGACATGTCACACTTTAACAAATAATATAAATAAAAGTCTCGACACTTGTAGCATGAATATGTATTTTTGTTAAAAAATTATACATTTCATCATAAGTTATAAAATTTTTATTACCCATACCATGTATAATATGGATAATCAATAATAAATGTCAAATTATGTTAAATGATAGGTAATTTTGTTAATTTTAATTAAATTGATATATAAATTTTAACTTTTATACATAAAAATTAGTAAAAACTTCATTTATGGAGAGTGATTTAACAATGTAGAACTAGGTAGACATGGCCACCGACTCGGGTCGAGCTGGTGATCAGCCAACCTGGACCTAAATCTAAACCGGGCACGTGTATTACATTGGCTATTCGCCTATTTTTGGTTTAATCCTAGAAAAAATTTTGACTTCCAGGTTCAACCTGAAACCAACCCGACACCCTCGGTTCTCGGTTGGTGCCAAAAAATTTGAATTACAAAATTTGATTTTTGATCTGGTTTCGATCCGGTCCATCGTTCACGGTTTAGATTCAGCTGACCCCATGGTTCATGGCCCAACCTAGAATTGTTGGGTCAAGATAATTTTTTAAAGAGAAAAAAACACTAAGACTAGTTGGGTCGTCCCAAAATCGGAGCCTCCATACCCCGATCCGGTTATAGTTTATAATTTTATGATCAATGGGGTTGGTCGTTGGCCTATTTATATGCGAAGAAAATATTTGGGCGGATAAAGGCGCACATTTGGAGGAGATCGACTGATTTCGATAGCCGAGCGATTGCGGCCGCAATTGGCGGCCGGCAGACGGTCGGTCCAGTCGGTATAGTCGGCCGATCGGGCGTAAATCGCCGGAATTTAGTATCTCATCGTCGCTCATTTTCGTCGGAAATCGCCAGAATTTTAGAGAATTTATGATGATTTGAATTTTTGGAAGAAATGCCAGAGGAAAAACGGTCCAAAAAGGGGCAGTACGTAGTAATAAGGGAACAGTGTTTAGTAACACCTTTTTATTGCCAATTTTCAACCTAACTTCAGAACTTCACCCAACTCTTGTGTCCTCTTTTCTCCTGTTGGCAAATAGTATGATACTGATCTGTTTTTTCTAGTTATATCTTCCCACGTCTAAACTTATTAATAAACAATTGTAGGTTAAAGTATTCTTACCCATATATCTCGTGGAACTTTGGCATAACCAATAATTAAAGTTGTTTAACAAATGAGCCGCTATCTTGTGAAAAACTTAAAAAAAATGACCACAATTACGTAATATACTTTCAACAATTATTTTCTTTTCATTTTGTTTAAAGTCGAACAGAAACCATACACAGGTTACACCTTTGTCATTAGCACTATAGAACTTGATAGCTCTGTGATTGGTACCTGACTTGAGTAGACCACCCGTGAAATTATGGAAATTTCATCAAGTAAATGAGAACAATTGCAAATATAAAAGCAAAGAAAGAAAAATCTCCCTACAAAACCCCAGTCTTATTTGGTTATCAATCAAGACTGAGACCACATTTATAATACTATCAAGTGTCAACCAAGCTAGTAGATGCACCACTGCTCAACAGTTAGCACACCAGTAGACATTTATATTGCACAAGCCACAAGCAATAAACTACAGATCGACAATTATTAATAGTGTGTAGTTGAAAGACATCTGCACTGCAGCCGATTCAAGATGTCTAACAAGAAAAACAGTTCATCGAATCTTATTCATACATCGCTATAAATTTTAGACAAAGTACACGAATTCCAGTAAAACACACACAAACACAATACAAGAGTAGTACCATTACACACACACAGATAATGAATATTCTTGAACAATATTACCTCACCTACTGGGAGGTATATCTCCACACACTAAGCCTGGAGCCGGATTGTGAATGCCTGCAAGGACAAGAGAACGGCTCTCAACCTCGTCTTGGAGGCATCATCGATCAAATTGCCATCACTATCGAATGGAGAGGGAGTTTGGAATGCGTTTAGAAAGAACTCCGGCTTATTGATGAAATGAAGGTTGATGTAAACCCCTGTTTGGCGGAGAATATACTGTGACCGGCCACCGCCAAAACCACCGCCTGCACTCACGATTGCAGCTGCTTTGTCGTCCCAGACGTTTGGTGCCCTTGAAGCCCAGTCGATGGCGTTTTTCAGAGGTCCTAGTCGAAAAAATCAGTTAATGAAGAAATGTATGGCTTTAAACTATTTTTTGTTTTTTTTTTCGGCTTTAAACTTTAATGCACAAATGTTGATTGACAGTGAAAATATGCTTTTCCAATCACATCAAAATCAATTTGTAAAACACGCCATGGGAGAAAAAACAAATAAATAATAAAACAGAAGTGAGTAAAGTTGAACAAAGTGAACAAGATTATTCAGATATATCCCAAATAAGTGGCATAAATTAAAATGTGTACCAGGATACTTGATAACATCTGGGTTTCGGAAGTTTTGGTAACGCAATGGAGCTTAATAGAACTCATAGTGATTCAGTAATCATCTCCCAAATCGTATTATTTTTATAAAATGACTATTGCTGAAACTTCAAAATAGAGACATTGTTTCCCCGGAGACAGTAACATTTTACTTTTGCCATTTCTGTTTATCGTATTCTTCTGTTTTCCTTTTTCCTTGTTTCATTTTCAATTTATGAATAGGATAGACAAGAAAAAGTTCTAGTGAACTGTAAAATAAAGGAAAGATGTGAAGCTCATCCAGAATTCCAACAAGATACTGCACACGAAATTTGATGATCTCACGAACTCTAAATATCTCTTTGACCAATTAAAACTGATTAAGTGATGTAAATATGGAATTGGTTCCAATACCGGTTGAGTTCATTTAATCTTTCTTATTTTCTTTATTGTTTGATTAGGATGACGAGGGGAACGGGGAGTTGGTGGCTGCATTTACAAATTACAATAGAACGCGTGGAAGTATTTAAGAACACACACATACTCCAAAAAATAGCTCTGAACACAAACCAATAACCAATTAGCTGCTGCTGTTATGGAAATTATGAGAAACTAATAGTGCACTTACTTTAGTCCCTAGACCCATTAATCACATTCACTAAAGAGTCGACTGACATGGCATAGTTATACGACAAACATAGCTAAATGCAACATCAATTGTTGATAGGATTAAATTGCCATCATTCAACTCCAAAGGTTCGCTTAAATCCCCAGAAAGCAGCACATGCATCAAAACTCTTCAGAAACCCGGTCTTAATCATATGAAACAAAGCAACAAACGGAACTCCAGTTAACTAGTAGCTACTTGATGAGATTCAAGTAACTGAAAAATCCATTCACACCCGCAGATCAAAATGTAAAATTCCAAATCAACAGAGAACATAAGTTACTGATTTAATACCAGTGATAGAGTAGTTGTACTCTGGTGACGCAAAGAGTATGCTATCAGCAGCAAGAATCTTCTGTCTAAATGCCTCTACAGCAGGTGGGTATGTCCCATTTACTTCAAGATCCGTGTTCACAAACGGTAATGGTGATATGTCCACATACTCAATCTCCAACCCGTCAATCGACTTCGATATATCCATAGCTAAACAACAGTAAACATCCCAAGAAAGTGAAACAAAACAAAATAAATCAGATGGGGGCCAAAATGAGGGGAAGTGAATTAGAATGCAGCAGAACTGAAATGTAAAATTTCAGTCCCTTCAAAGAGGAACATTCAACAGATCATGACAATGAGTCCCAAGCCCTGAATTTCCGAGATGTAATAAAAACCACTAAAGACTCAAAATTGGGAAACAAATCAAGTTAATAGTTACTGCTTCTCCAGCAAGTTTGAGAAGGGAACAAGAACACAATGTAAATTTCAGTCTCTTCAAAGAGGAATATTGACCTGAACATTACAATGAGTTCCAAGCATTGAACTTCCGAGAAGCAACAATAACCACTGAAGACTCAAAATTGGGAAGCAAAGCAAGTTCATAGCTACTGCTTCCCAAGAAAGTTCGAGAAGGGAACAACCAACAGAAAGTAAATTTCATTCTCTTCAAAGAGAAATATTCAACAGCACATGCCAATGAGATCCACGCTCTGAACTTCGAAAACGCAATAATAACCACTAACGACTCAAAATTGGGAGGCAAATCAAGTTCATAGATACTACTTCTCCAGAAAGTGGGAGAAGGGAACAACCAACACAGCACAGTGTACAACGAGCCCCGAGCATAAACAACGAAAATTGATTAAAAAAGAGAGATCTTACCGGCACGGAGGAGGCCGCGATTATAGGAACCTTTGCGGAGAGAACCGCAGAGGGCGGCGACTTTGATGACTGGAGTAGGAGCTGAGATCGCCGCCATGGACACTTGTTTTCTGTGCGGGTCAAAAGTCGTAGCAGAAAGTTCCCTTTTTTTTTTTTTTGNTGGGATCTGTTAAAATATTTTGATCGGTATTCTCTCAGTCTAGGATTCGGGGGCCTGCCATGCAGTATATTTTACTATTTTTAGGACATTTAGATTATCTTATTTTAATTTAATGGTCTTAACTTTATCTTATTTTTTCCTTAATTTTAGTTTCGTTTCGTTTTCTCCAAACTTTTATCTGCAAGAAAACCGCTGCTCCCCTCAATGCATGTACAACCCCATGTCAAGGCCAAACAAACAACAAACATGTATTAAATACCAATAGTCTATACGAGTTGGTAGATTGGAAATATTTTGAAATCTGAGATGTAATTTTTTTTATTAAAAATTATTTTATTTTTAAGCAGAATTGATGCTATATGAGGTTAAATTGACCTCCGTAATATTATAGTTTCATCTTGAACTTTTATTATTTTCGTTAATTGATTTTGTTAGCTTCTTTATTGTTTTGTTTATTTGAGATCTTCTTAAGTTATATCACTGAAGTTACTGTTATTGTTCTTTTTCTTGTGATGAACATCTCCACGATTGATGATAAAAAAATGGGCAAGAACGTTTTATCCGGGGCATAAATTCACGAAAAAATGTCTATTAAAAATTTGGAACTGTGAGAAGGAAAAGATGAAAAACTTTGTTGTTGTACAGTGTATTCTAATTTTTTTTTTTAATCTAATTTTATAGTGACTGTGTTTGTATATGAAAATATTAAACCCATATTCAGTTCATACTCAAAATTTAATTCAATTTTAACTCAACTTCACTATCTTCAATATTATCAATATAATTAAACAATACTAACCAATCATTCTTACACATCACATCAACTTTAATTTACTATTAATTCACTTACATAATTTTAAGTTCTTAACTAACCATCACTTCAAACCATCTCTTATTTCTACATCAATTCAACTTTAATTATTGTATCTTAAATATCATTTTAATATAAAATCAAAATACCACTAACAACTAACCATACTACTTTTTTCAAAATTAACTTCGATTAACTAAAAAAACTCATTTTGAGAAGATATATTTGTATACAAACACGCCCTATAGAGGTGTTTGTTTATAAATTTTTTCAATCCATGTTAAAATTTTAATTCAACTTTAAATCAATCTCACTATTTTCATTATTATCAATATAACTAAATAATATCAATCAATCATTCTTACATTTCATATCAATTTAATTCAATATTCATTCACTCACATAATTTTAACTATCATTTCACATAATTTCTCTCCAGTTTTTATATTAAATCAACTTTAATAATTTTATTTTAAATAATATATTAATATAAATTCAAAATTCCACTAACAACTAATCATACCACATATTTCAAAAATTAAACATGATGAACAAAAAAGACTCAGGATTGAGCAGATATATTTGTATCCAAGTGAATATTAGGTATTATTGAACTGCAATTCTCATATTATATTTTATTGAAAATTAGGCCTCCAAGGAATTGACAATTTGACACCCTCTTTCCCTCGATCCGTTTCCGGCGGCTCTCACAAAATTCACTCCCCAAAAGATAGTAAAAAAAGGTCCGATAAAAATGCATTGCCTTAACACAAATACCAATTGCCCTTTGCAGATTCATTTACATCATTGATTGACCCATTTCTTTAAATTTTCATGTTTCGTTAATCCCTTTTGTTGTTTCTGTGTTTCCGCCTGTCGGGTCCTCCTCCATTGATGTTTCTTCTCTTACCCTGTTTTTCTTTTCTCATCGTATCATAGGACATCTTATGGCGAATAGCCACCCCATTTCAAGAGACAGCCGGCTTATGCCGCTGGTAAATGAAGCTCACGGCCCAGAATTACTGTAAAGTTGCGTCCCTTTTTTTCAGATTATAATTGTTAAACAATTATGTGTGAGAATTTGGTGGCGAGGACGGGGAGGCAACTGCAGCGGTATGATTCGGGATTTCGCCTTGTTGCTGGGTATTGTTCTTATGAATCCTTAAATCCTATAAAAAAATGTTGCATTGTGCGCCAAGAATAAAGATTTGTGTGCAGTTATATTGGTTTGGTTATGTTTGACTGTTCATAGTTTGCTACATTAGATAATGCTGTATATTGTGAGTTCTTTTGCAAATTTGATCTGCATAGAGCTCTAGATGTGACGGGCTGTATCTTTAGCAGTACAATATCACTTTTAAGTATCATCTTCGGCCTTAAATGGTTGATTGATCTGTTATTTTTGAATCACGACTGTAAAGGTCGTGTCTTTACAAACTATCCATTGTATTAGTTCATTCAGATTGTTATGATTTAAATTGGTTATATATGTGGGAAATCATTAGCATTTGTTGTTGCTGAAAAATCAAACACATGCCTAGTAAATCACGGAGGATTAGAATTGATAAGTTTTAGATCTCAACCTGAACGCTTCTTAGTTAATTGTTGGTGTTATGTCATTGTAGGTTCTTTCCTTTTTGTTTTAGAATGAAATTCAAACTCTTTATTGATTCATCTTATGATTCTCAATGTATAATATTTAGTCCCTAACTTATAATATCATAAACTGATAAATTTCCATGTTACATACCTGTTCTACAAAAACAAAGCAGTGGGTATCACCAAATCAGCTAGCATGACTTTGTGCATCTGCTCCCTTGCCTTACTCTCTGATATTTATTTACTCTCTGATTTGTTCATAACATTTTCTTTGCAACTTTGAGTTAGTAAAAGGGGTTGTGAAATAATTCTTTCAGGCTTTTGGTCATCTATTCTGATGTCCATTAAGTCCTTGAGTTAGTGAATTTTAATTGTTTTAGTGCAGTCTGAATCACTATTGTACGTACCTGATCTTTTTGTCATCATATGTTAAATGAGGATGTTATTTGCCAGGTGCATTCCCTATAGGTATAGAGACTTGGAAAATAGTACTTGTGAGAATTCAAACAAGGTTGTAGAGGTGCTCATGATCAACTCACCGAGCGGCTCTGGACTACTGTTCCCAAAGGTATTTGTTCGCTATCAGGCATTCCTTGTTCTCTCTCTCCTCCACTATATCTGAACCTCTATTGTTTTATTTAATTTTGTGCCTATTTTGAGACTAAAAAGCAACCTTTGCCTATGTGAAGATTATGCATATCAAATGCAATATCAGTTGCAATTTTGTGAACAATTGGTAATTGAAGAACTACTATGAGTAATTGGAGGGGCAAAGTGATGCAATGTAAAATTGGTGGATATTGCTTTATTTTATTGTAGTTGAACGTAGTACAAGGGAGCAGGTGAAATTAACCCCCAATTTGTAAAATAGTTAATCTGTACCATGGCTATCACTCTTTTACTTCTTTTGTGAGTCATATCTGATAGGCATGTGACTGTGTTTTCATTTTTGAGCAGGGAGGTTGGGAAAACGATGAAACAGTTCAAGAGGCCGCACTTAGGGAAGCTGTTGAGGAAGCAGGTGTTCGAGGAAAGATAGTGGTGAGAATCTTACTTTTTTTCTACATTCCTTTGGCTTGTGCATTGTACTTGTCTAAACAATCTGGGATCACCTGCAAAAGTTGGCGACTAAGTCTAATTTATGTAATTATTTATTTTTTTTTAAAAAAAAAAAGTAAGAAATTTGATCGATTAAATGCTAAAGCCTGAGAGGATACAATTTCTTGAAGCAATTAGGATTTCATCGCTATTAGGTATCGTTGCATGTGTTACAAAATGCTCAAACAAAATGAGCTCATTGTTCAAAGAACGATGAAAGAAATAACGACCCTTGCTAGCTATTCTCATTAATCTCTCAATTATATTTCTTAATATATATATATATATATATATGATTGTTATAGAAATTTCTTGGGTTCTACGAGTTTAAGAGCAAAACCCATCAAGATGAATGCAACCCAGATGGGTGTTGTCGAGCGGCAATGTTTGCTATGGCTGTGGAAGAAGAGCTCGAGTCTTGGCCTGAGCAAAGCACTCGAAGCAGAAAATGGTTAAGTGTAACAGAAGCAGCCGACAGCTGTCGGTACCCGTGGATGAGAGAAGCTCTCATTGAGGGCTTCTCTATGTGGCATCATGAATCGACTGACACCGATAGTAAGTGAGGCCGAACCTAATAAAACAACTTCTTCTAGACCAAGTTTTATGTGGTTAGTTTGATAACCTTTATCTTGGTGCTGCAATTAATTTATTGCCTTGGTTAGAGTTTTGTAATGTGAATTTGTAGCTTCTGTTGTTCCTGGTATCTGCATATCTGCAGTCTCAATCATTTATTGACACGTTGTGAAGATATTTGTTGATTTTTGCGTATTAACGAGCTTCTTTGTTTATTTTTTCAATATTATACTGTTGGTGGAGTAATCTAATAGCATTTTTGTGTTTTTAAGTTGTGGCTTTAAAGAACAAAGTACAAACACACACACACATTAAACCAATTTTGTTTAAGCATATGTTTGTTGTGAATATTCAGGAAATCTGAATGATTTTTAGCAAGATTGATGTGTGTACTCCAACATTTAACCAAATGACCACAATGTATGCTTTGTCAACTACTACCACAGCCAAACAAAACCCNCTGACATTCACATATGATAATTGATAACTATAAAATGATCCCGGCTCAAAAGGTGAAAGGGTATTCTATAATACAAACATATAAACAAAACAAAAGACCAAACTACACCTTTATTGGTATACATAATCTACAAAGCTCAAATATCCCTTCTTACACCTCAACAACACAAAGAACCAATTCAGACAACTAATTCCCAACACAAACCGAGCCAACTCAAACCACTCTTCCCCTCTCCCTCATAACCCATCCATCTTTTCACACAGCCAGCATTTACCAACACCCCCAACTCAATTAGGTCCCCTCATCAAAGAGGGAACTCAAACTCAACCATATCACCACAACACAACAAACTTATAGCAACAACACGTTACACTAACAAAGCTTTCCTTTCAATCGATCAACTCTCGTCAAGCACGATATCTGCCGGGTCCCCAATCCACGGCCTCCCTTCACGCCACCTAAACTTAATCCTCAACTTCCCGTTCGCGTCAACCCCCACAACCTCACCCTTACTCGTGTGTGTCTCCATACCCCAACCCCACCTAGGGCTCACCAGCCCTTCCTTTATCCTCACCCTATCACCAACGCTAAACGGCCTCACCTTCTCCATCTCCCAGGCCTTGCAAACCCACAAACGGTCGAGAAAACAGAACGCCACCCACAAATCCTCGTCATCCATGCGGTGCACCACCCCAATGCTCGAGTACGACACTTCACCCCACTGGTGTGTCGGGCTCGACAAGCCCGGCCTAGCCCGAACCCAATCCCCGACCCTCAACTCCTTTTCCTCCACGACCTCGACTTCCGAAGGGTCGAGCACCCAAACCTTCGAGCCTGCGGGCGTGTAAATCCTCAGCTTCCCGTCCGCGTCAATTGACGAAATCGTCCCTATGCTTGAATAATCGTGCCCCGACCACCCGAACCGCGGAGGGTTGACCGCGGGTTTGACCCTCACGCGCTGCCCCATAAAAAACCGTTTGGTTTTCTCCAAGTCGGCCGCGGGCCCGATCCATAGCTCGTTCTCCCCACAGAAAGCGACGTGCAAATTCCCGTCCCACTCGTCATTCTCGTACCCGAGCCCCTGCACGACGCCCACGCAGCCGGGACGAACCGATTTCCACTCGCCCGAGCGCCAGCTCAGCCGGACCCACTCGCCGACCTCGTGGATCAAGTCGGGCTCGAGGTCTGCTGGATCGGCCTTCCACAGCCCACCACCTGGCGGACCACGGAGAACGAGACGGACCTCGCCATCAGCATTCACGCCCACGACGACCCCGCGTGAGTTGGGCTGGGCGCCTCTCCAGCCCCAGCGAGGCTCGACGAGCCCGGCCCGAAAGCGGACGTGCTGGCCGACTTTGAAAGGGGGGACTTTCTCGACGTCTGAGTAGTGAGTGCTCCATCGGCCCTTGCGGAAGCAGCAGGCGAGCTCGAGGTACCCGGTGTCCTGCACGCTGTGCACGACGGCTAGGCCTTCTTTCCCGATGCTGTTCCAGTCGTAGCTTGGTCTGGTGCCTAGGCTTGGCTTGGAACGTACCCAGTCGCCGACTTCGAAATCCGGAAGCCGTTCGGCGTCTCCTGGGGAGACCTTCCATAGACTATGCCTTCCAGCAACTTTGACCTAAGAATGGATTATTCATGAGGTAGAACCAGAATCAACGAAACATATTTACATAATTTGAAAAGGAAAAAAGAAGAAAAGTCCACATAAATCAAGGAAAAAAAGGCAGAAATTAAAGCGATTCGGTCCTCTATCACACAAGGAACATTTTTACTTCAACTTTCCTCTTGGCGTGTAAGGATGAGGAAGCACTAGTAAAGGAGATAGAGGGGACAATGGATTTAGAAAAAATGGAAAAGGATCTTTTTTATCATTTGAAGAAATATTTAAGGTTTGATGGATAAAACTTAAAACAGTAATCATCACTGAATCACTTCTAAGAAAATTTCAACACGACATGGCTTATCTATTCGTGTCAACCAATCCCACTAACTATCTAAATCTATTCCATTTTGTAGAACTAAATAACTAAATGTAAGTGGGTTACAAAAAGAAAATATGGATGAATCCAAACGGAAAAGATGAAGATTTTGCCGGGAAAATTGGAGAGTCGCTTTCCTTTTTTGAATCAAAAAGAAACTTTGGGATTGCTTTGCAACGAGGGCAGCAAGTACGGCTTTGCGAGTAAGTGCATAACCACCTAAATTTGATGCTAAGATAGAACGGATCAGGAAAGGCTTACGTTTAAAGCACCATCCATGTCGATTCTCACAATTTTTCCAACAGAAGCTGGTGACTCGTTTGACCACCCAAGCCGAGGCTGAGACACGGATGGGATCACATGAATCTCCTGCCCCAATTCAAAGGGAGGTACCTTCTCAACATCAGTCACTGAACAGCGGAAAAGTTTGCTCCGAAAGCAAAATGCTACTCCCATGTCACCATCTTCCTCCAAGCTGTGGATAATACCTATGCTGTTTCTTGTAACGTCCTCCCAACCGTATATCGGTGAGGGAACAGAAGCTTTAATCCTAACCCAATCCCCTACCTGTGCAGGTGTAAAAAAATAATAAGGCATTGAAAATAGTCATGTAGTCACATCTTACAGCAGTAAACGTAAATTAACATTACCTTGAAATCCTCCACCTTCTCCATGTCAGATGGATCGGCCTGCCATGGAATAGGGCGATTTGGAATTTCAATTATCAAAAGACCGTCGTTCTCTATCTCACTAATTTTTCCAACACTGTGATGTGTTTCGCCTCCCCAAGCATATCGAGGCTCGGCAACAGAACGCTTAACGCAAACTCGATCTCCAATCTGTAAAAAACAAAAAAGAGAAGAAACAAGAAAAGGGAAACGGGGGAAAGGAGGGAAAAAAAGGGATAACGCAGAAACTTTAGGAAAGGCCAAAAGGAGGAAAAAGATGAAAAAAATAATAATGAGGAATCTCTTTGCAAACTCTATGCATGCATTACGGAGAAATGTACTTACCCTAAATGGCTCCACATGTTCAACCTCTTCAGGTTCACAATGCCAAGGAGAAGGAAGATAGCTTATCTCCAATAGTAGACTATTATCTGGCCTAATGCAATACACTACGCCAATGCTTCCTGGAGTAACAGCTCCAAGTCCATGTTTAGCTGTAGTCAATGCAGGCCGGATACGAACCCAATCTCCTACTTTAAATTCTTCAACTCTTTCCATTTCTGCAGGATCTGCTTTCCATCCTCTGGATGCTCCAGGAAAACCAACACGCAGTATTCCATCATCATCAACACACAGAACTGTTCCAATGCTGTCGCGTGATGGGCCACGCCACCCAAATCTGCGGTAGCAGAACATCAATTATTACTATACATTGGTTGAATGCTGAGGGTGTTCACAAGCAGTTAAGATCATAATGTATGTAGTAGTCATCTTTTATTAGTGAATATAAAATAATCATAGTTAGCTTAAATATTATGCAGAATGTTATAATCATATCAGAAAACTCAGACCTTGGCTCAATGACATCGGACTTAAGCTGAACGTGCTGCCCTCTGTCAAGCGGAATCACTTTTATGACTTCATTCGCTAGTACTTGAGCTGGAGTGTCTCGAGAACAAAATGCTATAATAAGATGGTCATTGTCAGGGACCTTTTGCACAAAACCAACACTCTTATGTGTGACATTTTGCCATCCGTAAGTTGGTTCTTTAACACTTTTTCTGTACTTCACCCAGTCACCAACCTGGTATCTGCACAATGTGTGAGTTCACATACACAATTAGTCACACGAAAGAAGTTGAGCAAATACTCTCAAGAATCACATTCGAAAACAGGAGATACTATGGCTGTTTACGCACGCTGTAGGAGATAACTGGACTCCCTTCTCCAGCAGTGCCTCCATTAGATCTTCAGAAATCCATTCCCGTGGAAGAGCCTCTAAGAAGTCCCGTAATGTCTTACCACTGCAAAAAACCATGAGATTCAGCAATAATACTTAGAAGCACACATGACAAAATCATCAACCCACGCACATTACACACACACAAACAAAAAACCAAACAAACAAACAAAAAAGAGGAAAGTAAGCATTTCTAAATGAGCTCTATAGTATAAGATAACCAAAAATAATTGCTAGTGTAGAAAACTAGCCTGTGGTTCCTAACATGTACGGCAGCATCAGGATATCTAAGCATAATACGGATCCACTCAAAATTCTCACGTATCATCTTTGCCGTGTCAGCTGCTATATGAAACGCGTTGTCACCATCATCATCCTAAAGATAAAATGAGATGAAAACAGCAAATGAGTCTCAGTGGTAAAGGATGTAACTAAATTTAACGATGCTTTAATGTTTTCGAATATTTTGGTATCCATGCAAATTTTGCACGGTCGAACTAATATTTCGAATGTTATTATGATTAAAAGACCCAAATTTGAAAGCAGACCTCCAGGTTGCAATTAGCCCCAGCTGACAGAAGCAACCCAACACAAGATTTTGCACCTCTGGCCAATGCCACATGGAGAGGTATGGTTTTCTGCTGATTCCTGATATTCACATCTACACCAGCTTCCAATATGATCTAAGGAAAGAAAATTATGAATGATATAATTATTTATTTTACACAACTTGTCGATCTGAAGATCTCACGTCGAATACGAATGCTATTGGAATGTCATTTTTACAGAGTGAAACAGCCAGAAACATCCTGTAG